TCGATGATAGTTGTCGTTGGCACTTGTGAGCAACTAAGATGGACACGAATGAGTTATTAGTGGTTCCCAAATAAACACAGGAAGATACTTGCAAAGTGAGAATTCGTCGAAACAATCACACGTAAGCTCGAGTATGGTTTATTGGTTGATAGATAATGTACAAGTATGACCTTCGGACGATCTACAAACTTTCAGACATCATAATGTCCATCGAGAGTACGAAATGATCATGAGCTATAGGAGGCTTGGAAGGCCAAAGAATGGGTGTTGGAGTCTTGGTTGAGGAGAGCTATACTAACTTAGCCAGGTATTGTCATAACATAGGGAAAACTAACCCTGGCTTGATATTTTTATTGAGACGGAGGACGAGAATTGCCTTAACTTTATCTTCATAGCCATTGGACAATGCTTTCGAAGATTTCGAAATGCGATGTGGTTTATAATTATAGTCGATGGTACAACTCTGAAAGCTAGATACCAAGGCAAGTTAATTATTTCTACATGTCAAGACACCGACATTCAAATTTACCTTCTTGCATTCGTCATAGTTGACAACAAGAATGATTTGTCGATGCGTAGATCTTTACAAAATTGAGGGAAGTGATCGGAAAAGTCGATGACCTTACCTTTGTAACTGATTAGAGATGTCTATAATAAATGGTATCGTTGAATTTTTCCCTGGCGTATCATGGGTATTGCATGTATCATATACAAGGCAATCTGCAACTGGGTATCTAGGTAAGGACATCGTTTCATTGATCAGGAGAATGATCGAAGTTTATAGTATTGAAGAGTGTAATAAGGTCATGGTCGTAATTGGAAGAAAATCAATTCCGCTATGGGATTATCTAACAAAAATGGGGATTGAACATTATGCGAGATCACATTTTCTAGGACATTGATATAACATGATGACATTGAACGCAGAGTCTGTCAATGCATTGTTCAAGAAGGATCGAGAGTTATCAATTCTCATAATGATTGAGAACATTTGTAACAAGCTACAATAATGGTTTCATGATCGACGTGTGAAATCACAGTGTCGCACTAGCGTGCTAGCCCCGGCTTAGGAAGATAAACTCTTCAAGACTACAGAGGTTGAGAAAAAGTTGAATGTGGAACTATTTGATGAATTGCGCTTCTCCATAAAATGTGCAAGTAATACAGTATACATGATGGACTTGACTGATAGCACATGCTCTTTTAGTCGATTTCAATTAGAGAGTTCCATGTGAGCAAATAGGCATGGTGGCTATGTATTGAAGTTTTGCAGCGAGAACATTATGCTTTCCTCTCCGTCACCCTCTCCATCACCCTATTCGGTACCCCATCACCCGCCTGTTATATCATCTTAGAGCACTGCGCCCTCATCCTGAGGTTTACATAGTGGCCATATAGCACTCCAACATCATAGGAAAAATTGTCGATCCTTCCTATCAACTGTTGTCCCAAATCGTCGATCCTTCCTATTAACTCTTGTCGTAGAGCAATGGCATCCTTCATTATAAATCCAGTCAGGTATACATAAGATCATTGAAATAATGACCCTGACTGTGTGCAAGAAATCCACGGAGAAAATGTCTGGACGGGGGAAAAATATATCTCCTCGATGGAGGTGATGTCCTCGATGAAGGTAATTATCAATTAACTGGACTGCCTCCTACACAAATAACAACATTAAAAATTATTAACTTCATTAATAATTGCTAATTCATAAAAACGGTAATCAATAAATTATATTCAATTTACATATCCAATCTCGATCCAGGATCGAATCGGACATCTGATCGTCTTGAGTGTGTGGAAAGACCAATTCACACACAAGACCTCGACCCTCCTCCTCCGTCGACAGCTTCAAATCAGTTTTGATTTCAAGCTGACGTATTGACATTTGAACTAATTAATGATCATTTAATGAAATTTTAAACTATATACAATACAAATCACAAATGTATAATACTCATATAAGAGTTGTCAAGCATAGTAGATAATTGTTTCCCAAATGGTCATCCGTTCGCTTGGAATGCTTGCTGATATGCATCCGAGGGCAACGTGTCCCCCTTCGCCAAGCAAAACGGTTATCCAATAGGGGACAGTCTGCACAATTATTATATATAAATTTATTATAAAATATTTTAACGTTGATTATGTTAACATTTATCTGCACATCTAGAGGTAATACATAAATATCATGATTACATACAGACCTCTTGGACTTTGAGTGTGATCTGGTGAACACGTGGATGGTGTCCTCAAAATACCTTGGTCGCATAGATAGTTGTTGAATGTATTGATGTCGTCGACAATTTTTGGATGAAAGAGGTCGATCGCAGTTTTCTTGTGATGACACCGCAGCACGCTTTAAAGGATGTAGACCGCTCCTAACTTCAGTTTGTGTAACATCTAGTCACACACTTTGATTGCGCCAATGAACTGCAGTAGAAGCACCGTCCCCTGTCCGTGGAAATAAGCGTCGTACAACCTGTTGCTTCTCTGAATATCGTCACGAGCTGCTTCATCCCCTAATCTTAGTCCAGTCATCAGGGTAAATTCGAACAAGAAGAACGTAGCGACTTGGCCCCCGAGGTAGAAGTGGACGGCACCGTCATTGACTATCCTAAGCAGCTGACATAGTAGTACATCTATGATCTACTCGGAGTAATGGACTCCCCTCAACTGATATAGGGGCCAGAGGAAAGACTGATGCAGAATATCTACGTGCTGGTCATCCAGCAACTCCAATACTATGGCGAAACTGTCAAGGCTACTATTCCAAGTAGCTTTCTCTAGCATCTGTCTCAACTTCTCATCCAGATGGTATTCCGTCTTACAAAAATTTAAAATTTTCAACATTGAACAAAAGATAATGGAATAAAGCATAATTTTAGAAAATTAAGCGAAATGAATTGTAAATACTATACGCTAAACGTAGATTCATTTTACACCAATACCAATAAAAAAAAACTAAATGAATTGTAGACAAAAAAATTTTAAAAGTTATTAAACATTTTTTAATTAAAATTGAAAGGAAAAATGGAAAAAAAAAAAGGGAAAAATGAAAAAAAAATGAAAAGCAGAGTAAAAAAAAAAAAAGGCTGACTCTTTGGTCCAAACGAGGATTTGGCCAAATAGTCCATTTAAAAAACAAATATAAAAAGTGTGGAAAATGGGGAAAAAACAAAAAGGAAAAAAAAAGGAAGTTGGCAAATGTTCGGCCCATCTACCAAAAAAAAAAAAAATTCTTAACAGTTGACTGGCACTGGTTGTTTAAATAGTCGATTTTCACCAACTGTCTCGTCTTTTTCAACGAGCTTGGCTTAAAATTTTTTGCCATAATTCATTCTAAACTATAAATCTACCTAAATAAATGTCTTATAAATATCATACATAACAATTTAATACACAAATTCACAAAACATACAAAATGAAAAATCAATAGCTTAAAAAAAAAACCTTGTTAAAGATAATGAACGAGTTTTGTGATGGTTGATGTTAAGTAGACCGTGAGGACGTTAAAATCGATCAGATCCCGATTATAAACACTGTGAATTTTTTCTTTTTTTGCCCTTTTTCTTTCCTCTTAACCTTTATATTATATTATTTTATCTTTTCTAAATGGTCAAAAGCCATTGTGGAAATATGGCCAGGTCAAATGGGCATTTTCATGTATTTCCACTATATTAGTGTGTAATATACATTATATAGTGTGTGAGAGAAAGAGTGACAAAGAAACAAAGATAGTAGGGAGAATTAAATGCTAGTCCATAGTCCCTTCAGTGAATATTATTTTAATTAGTAGTATATATATTTTATAAGTGATTTTATATCAATAATCTTGGATTTTAAATTCAACATCTTGTGCTGATCCTATTATCATTTTCAGCACTTGCATTATTTTCTTGTAAAACACAAGGTAGATTTTTGTCAGTGCGATGACCGTGATTTTTGGTTTTGAATTGGGGTGGGGGTGGGGTAGGATGGGGGTGTGGGGTAGGGAGATTGGTTGAAGAAGATAAAGTGTTATGATAAATGAAAAGTTTGGAAGAATTATACCGATGTTTCAAAAGTTTGGAGCTTTCGTAACAATTAGTTCATCTTTTATTTTCATTTTTTATTTAAATAGGAGAGTATTTTTTTAATTTTTTTTGGATAATTTGGATAAAAAAGATGATTTTTATAATGAAATGTGAAAATAGAAATGAAATACAAAAAAGAAAGGTAAAAATAATTTACGCAACAAGATTTTATGTGCTAAAAACCCAAAAAAAAACATTTATTAGTAGAATTCCTTGACTCTTCACAAAAAGTCGTCTCTTCCCGTATCGTCACAGTAGACGATATTTACGCCGGCCCTTTCTCTCTCCTCTCATATTTTGATATTCTTTCCCTCTCAGTGCAGATAAAAACGAATGATTCCCAAAAGGCCATTTCAAAACCAAGCCAAAAATTCACTTCAAACGCTCCAAGAAACACCCCATTTCTTATCCTCTTCCTCCTTTGCTGTCCCTGAAATCAATCTTGCTCGCATATTTGCACGTTGAATATCAGACTGTAACTATTTTTATCTTGTATGAAAAATTTACGGCAGAAACAAAAAGGAAACAAAATGGATTCGTTGCCTCTTGATGACATAATCAACCGCTTGCTTGAGGTTAAAGGGAGGCCGGGGAAGCAAGTACAGCTCTCAGAGTCAGAGATCAAGCAGCTTTGTTTGCAGTCCAAAGAAATTTTCTTGCGACAGCCTAATCTTCTTGAACTTGATGCACCCATCAAGATCTGTGGTAAAATATTTTTAAAGTTCACTTACTGGGTTTTTTAATGCATTTTTGTGACACTGGATTCCTCTTCATTGGGTGTTTTTCTGATGTTGGTTTAGTCAAACTGAAATTTCCTGAAGGGAATTTATTTTCTATCGAATTTCTTGATTTTTTTTATTGCTTGTTTTTGAGGGGTTGACCTGATGCCTGCCGTGGTTAATCAGTTGTACATTTACAGTTTATGTAAATTTAGTTTTAGAGGATTATATAGATTAATTGATGTTGGTGTTCTCCCTGTGGGGAGGAGGATTTACTTAAGTTTCCTCAGTTCGAGCATGTGGGTGTTGTGTCGTGAGGCAGTGATGTAAATTGATGCTAAGACCTGCTGTTAACTATAAGTTGAGATTCCATTCTAATGTTGGATAAACAAGAGTGTTATGGGTGCCTATGTGTGGGTGGGCAAAATGGCGAGCTCATGGAATAATTATTGTGATCCATTGTCCTGATTGCAAGCTCTCTTAATGGGAGTCATAGAGGCGACATGATATGCTTATTTATGTGGGAGAGACTACAGTGACGTGATATTTGGTTTTGTTACACATCTGTAGATTTTTTTTCCAGGTTTTCCTTGTCCTGCCTCAGTCAGCAAGGTGTACAATGTTTTTGCGTACATGTCTGTATTTATCTGTATTTGATTTAGTTATTTCATACCACTATTAAGTGCTGCCTTTCTGTTTTCATATGTTTGATATGTTTCTTTTATTTCACTTAGATCTTCTCTTTTCATGGTTACTCAACACTGAACCATGATTCTTCGTATCTACTGTTTTCAAATTTTAAGTTGGAATTTACATCTATTCGGCTACTTCAATATTACACCTGAGCCAACAGCATAACAATTCATGGTGCTTGGTTATTACTATTATTTTTAATGTTTTATATGAACAATAAAGCTACTTGTACAAAGTTGGGTTACAAAAGTTGGATTACAAAGTGTGTTGGCAAAATCCGGGCCATTGATTTGAAATGATTTAAAAATCTGTTATTGAAATAATTGGTGTGGATGTTATTTTGTCAACCACCTTTGTAACCCACCTTTGTAAGTGTAGCATAGCTCTTATATGAAACTCATAATCTGGACATTCTCTGTACACACATTCCATCGTACAAAAATTTCAGCAAGCGCATTGAAGGTGCTTAAAAGATTTGAATCTTGGCTGCGTCAATACTTCCCATTTCAAGATATTAAATCAAATTATTGACTTCGAAAACAGACTGAGGCTGGGTCCAAGACCTGTGCTACAACTTCAGGTTTGTGCGAGTAAGGAAACTTTGGAAAAAAACCAAAATGTTGGATTTTGGTATTTCTTTTTTATCTTTAATTTTTTGCGCAGGCCGTGGGCTGCAGAAAATTTTAAATCTTGAAAGAGTTCTGTAGCACCAAGTATCCCAATTCAAATTGGGGATAGACATGAAATTGCAGTGAGTTGAATTAAGAATTAACTTGGCCTGAACCTCTTGGCCTATTTGTTAACGAGGTTATTTTTTTCTATACATATTGGAGTTTGATGTATCTAGCGCACTAATATGTGATGTATCCAGGTGGGTTGATTGAACACGTTGCATGGCAGTGTGTTACCTAGTGGAAGTAGCGATTTTCTGTGTGAGAGAGACTGGGCTGTTATCGTGCCACGACAAGAATACCATACATTTTAGGGTGGAAAATAGTAAAGCCAAGAGTCCTGTATTGGTTGGGACTCACATTGGGAAAAAAAACATGCATCAGTAGGGGCTGGGAAATTTACTTGATCTGGCTTTTGTTGTGCCAAGTGGTTATCATCGTAAACCAAATAGTTATTGAACCTATTATATCTGATGAGCCCTTTGGACCTTGGGCATGTGAAGGCTTGGCTTCTTCATAAATTTTATGCAAGACATTGCAGATAAAGCTTGAATACCCATTTTTAACAAGTTGGCTTGGAGAACTAAAAGAGAGTTTTCTAGTGACGAAAATTTCCATGTGTTACTAAAACATGACAGAAACTTGCAGTTAAGCAACTGCTTGTTTGCTGTGACTGGTAGCTTGATTTACAAGGGATTATTATGAAGGTTAATGTGAGGCATTTAGGTTTCTTGCTGACGCCAAATATTTGGGTTTAGCATTGTGAAAGAATAGCTATTCTGTCTTTTTTATAGTACTTAATGGTTCAGATGTGAATCATGTGATAAACAGCAAGTAATTTAGCTCCTTTTCTTTATTTTTTATCCTTTACCGTGAACAGGTTAAGTGATTGGTACAGTAAGAAACTGATTGGATTGTCTTGAGTTCGTGGGAGAAACTTCAGCGGAATATCAGTTATTTAGAAAATTTAAGTGCTGTGAGAGATTGGAAGTAGTATAATCACTACGAAACTGGGTGCAGGTTGTCATAATCAGTGATTTTTTTCTAGTTTTGTTGATATGTATTATTCATTGTTGGCATGTTTAGTTGGACCTAGGAAGAATTGGATAGAACAGGAGACTATCAAGTAAGGAGTTAATATATTGAAAATAATTTCAGCATATGGTTTAGTTTCATCGCTTTTACTCTTGATATAGATTATGTGGCAAACATAAAGAATTTAGCTGAACCAGTGCCTATGCAGAACCTAATTTATTGAAAATAATTTCAGCATTCGATCAAGTTATTTCGTTTTTTGCTGGTGAAGATAAACAATATGTTTTCAAGTTCTGCTGTTACTTGCTCACGTAAGAACAAGCCACATGCATACAAAAGAGTTCAAATTACATCTCCAGTCGTATCCTAGAAGTGCCACCGCCCACTCTATGCTCCACCTTGGTCAACTGTTTCCTCTTGAATAATGCCTGTGTGTGATAGTTTGATATTTGGTATTTATACATGTTTTTCTAAACCTTAGGCCAAATGAGTGAAGTCTTTATAGGTTTGGTTTGAAGAGTTTAATGTTCAACTTTAACTCGAAGGAATACTTGTTTCTTTGTTATTGCCCACAATCTGGGAAATTGGCAGATACCTTAGCAAATAACAAAAAAGGGCTTTTGACGACATATGTAAGTATAAAGCTGGAACTTTTTGTATTTGGGTATAATATTAGATCTTTTAAATATTGGTACATTTCTTCCTCGTTTGAAATCAATTTATATGGCTTATTTTTATTGATGATATAGTAGTATGTTCATAATTTACATTATTCGAGCAGTTTGAGTTTTAGTCTAATTTTGTCTTGTTCTCTATAATATTTTACCAGGGGATATTCATGGTCAGTATTCTGATCTTCTAAGAATTTTTGAATATGGTGGATTACCTCCACAATCAAATTACTTATTCTTGGGGGATTATGTGGATCGAGGGAAGCAAAGTCTAGAAACCATATGTCTTCTGCTTGCCTATAAGATAAAGTATCCTGAAAATTTTTTCCTTCTAAGGGGCAACCATGAATGCGCATCGGTAAATCGTATATATGGGTTTTATGATGAGTGCAAAAGAAGATTTAATGTTAGGGTTTGGAAAATATTCACAGATTGTTTTAACTGCCTGCCTGTGGCAGCTCTTATTGATGAAAAGATATTGTGCATGCATGGAGGACTTTCTCCTGATTTGCACGATTTGGATCAAATAAGAACCCTACAACGTCCAACTGACGTTTCAGAAACTGGGTTACTTTGCGATCTATTGTGGTCAGATCCTAGTAAAGATGTCAAAGGATGGGGAATGAATGATAGGGGAGTGTCCTATACATTTGGTCCTGATAAGGTGACGGAATTTCTTCAGAAGCATGATCTTGATCTAATTTGCCGAGCCCACCAGGTTTAAGCCGTTGTATGATGTAAATTAATTTACAGGTATCCAACCTCAGTGACTAATTCACTCTTTTGATTCATTGCAGGTAGTAGAGGATGGATATGAGTTTTTTGCTGATAGACAACTTGTCACCATATTTTCTGCCCCAAACTATTGTGGAGAATTTGACAATGCTGGCGCCATGATGAGTGTGGATGAGACTTTAATGTGCTCTTTTCAAATATTAAAGCCTGCAGAAAAGAAGCCGAAGTTTGGATTTGGCAGCACAACTACAGCTAAGCCAGGAACCCCTCAGACAAAAACAAAGGTACCAAGCATGTGTAACTAAGCTTATAGACAAGTAAATAATTTTATTTTATTGATTACAGTTGCCTGTTTTTAATGAGTAGGTTTCTTATTTTGACTTTTAAATTAAGAAACATTTTCACTAACAAGGAAGAAAAACAGATTATATCTAAGCACATTTGGAAACTAAATTATCCACAAAACCTTTTCTTTTTAAACTTAGCCAAACGTGCTCTCTAAGTCTACATTGACTAAAGAATGTGGCTATCTTTGCAAAGAGTATTTTGATACATCATGCATATGCTTTGACATATATTACTCTTAAGCTAAGAAGCATGGACATGACATAAACTTGCTGAGATGAGTTATTTTCAAAAATGTAGGACATTGAAACATTGGGGACACACGTTTGTATTTTTAGGTGGTGTTTGATATGTATTTTTATGTAAAAATGCATTTTAGAATAGTAAACTGATGTGAAATGTGTGGTTGAAAAATCAGGAAAAGTTTTTGATTTACGTGTAATATTATTTTAATAAAGAACGTGTGGTAAAAAGGAAGAGAGAGAAAAATGCACTTTGAAGAAAATGGCTACCAAACGGGGCCTTAATGTCATTATGTTTATATGTTATCTTCGTTTTATATTTTTATTTCTCAATAAAATCACTACTTATTTAGTTTTGCTTTTGGATGGTGAAAATCTTTTGAATTAGAAAATTAAATATTTGTTATAACAATATGATTTTGGGTTAAACTATTTTTTACTACTTCTAGGGGGAAAAAATGCATGTAATAGATATTTAACAAATTTGACATGAAGTGATTAGGATTTCTATTACAGTAGTCTTAATTTTTCTGCATAAATGTTTTTATAAATATTTGTTTGTTATTTTATTTTCTAAAATTTATAAAACTGGGCTTCCCAAGTCTGGCGTTTGTTGAGAAAGTGTTGCTCTCCTGTTAGAACTATAAAGAATATGATGGAGCATTAAACCCGTGCCTTAAACATGTCTTAGAAGTTTCCATCTAGTTGTCGGAAATTTAATATATATAGGGCACGTCATATGGTGTGTCAGACTCGTGTACTAGAGTGTGTGATGGGTTGCGGTGACCAATATATTTTCTTCGTACTCATAAATTTTCAACACTGGATTTCTCTTTAAAAAACATAGGTTCATTTTTACCTGTTATAGTTTCATTCTTATTTAAAAGAAAATATGAAAGGAGCTTCATAGGTTGAGATGGGAGTATCATGAAAAGAAGCTGCCTTGACACTAGTTTTGAGATTTGAATTTCACGATGCCAATTGCATCATGAGTGACCAATATATTTTCTTCGTACTCATAAATTTTCAACACTGGATTTCTCTTTAAAAAACATAGGTTCATTTTTACCTGTTATAGTTTCATTCTTATTTAAAAGAAAATATGAAAGGAGCTTCATAGGTTGAGATGGGAGTATCATGAAAAGAAGCTGCCTTGACACTAGTTTTGAGATTTGAATTTCACGATGCCAATTGCATCATGTTTGATATTTTATTATTCATAGACCATAACTCAAAGTCAGTGTGATGCATTCTTTTATATTTATATATCTTGACATTTATATGTAAAATTGCTTCTTTTTAAAATTCTATTGTCACTAATAAACTTTACTCTGTCGATTTGCTAGATTCATTTCCTTAATATTGTCATGATTTCCTCTGAAGTCATGAAGTTTGTAATTTAATATTTCTATCACCGTATCATTTGTGTTCTGGACAGAATATTAACCGTCTCTGTTACTGTTTTGCTTGCAGTCATTCTTTGGTGCGAAAATAGGATGAGTTCCATTTGCTTAAGAGATCTGAAACTGCTATCTGGACTCTCTAGCATTGAGGGTTTAAGGATCACCTCAAAATTTAGGAAATCATCTCACTATGTGGGTAAATTAGAGTTTGCAGGCACTATGCTGAAAAATGAAATCTACAAGATTTTCTTCCCGAGAGAAAATTTTGAGGGGTGTAATAATTTTTTCCTTCTTGTATAATACCAATCAATGTAGTGGTAGTTGTGGATTCTTTGCCAATTGCAGATTTGATGACCGTGGATTGGACGAAAAGAAAATGCAAACCCTTGTGTTTTGTACATCATGAAGTGTTTTATCTTTCTCCTTTTTCACATGCTTTGATCAAAGCATTGCAGGATGGTTTACTGAGCTGAATTGAACCTCTTGAGATTTTTAGTTGGAGTTGCATGTACCAAATTTCACAGACCAGAATGTGATAATGGTGACATGCTATTCTTAACGATTGAACTGAACTCTTTTATTACAAAATTGTTAATAAGAATGAATCAAATCTTCCAACTAAGATTTGAATTTCAGTATTCAATTCATGATTGCGAGAAGCTTGTATTGTAAATCATGGAACTTCTTCGTGGTGGCTCCTCTTTCCATGATGAGTTTCAAAGGGTACTTGAAATGGCTCCATTTCATTATATTCCATAATTTACCAATATTGTACATTTAATAATATAAAAAAGGTTTCTTACCACTAGCTCTAATTCAAAAATTATGCAGGAATATGGATGTTAATTTGAGCTGAAAACTTGAGCCCCACGATGTCTCACTCCTTGCCTCGATTGTTTAGTTATTTAAAAAAGGAATTTCAAAGTTTGTTGAAAATTCACCTTAACCCATTTTTTTAAGGCCCAAACTCGAACCAATTGCTTATGCCATTAACTGAATTGTCAAATTACCCGAAAAATTACTAGGAAATGAAAATTAAAAAAATATAAATGGGGCAATCCCCCATCCCAATATTGGAGATGGCTCCTGAGTGATAAAAGAAAGAACCATCTTCTTTCTATTTTACTTACCTTGTATGTGTAAAGACACAGTCTATTTGATTCTGTAAAAAAAGATTGTAATAATCATATATGGTCTTCAAGTTTATCCTTTAGATATATAAGTTATCATTCTCTGGAAGTGATGAATTTATTCCATTTACTGGTTTCTTGGTTTTGTTAGCTCCTTCATCTTGGCGTTTCCTTGTCACCCTTTATGATGGATGAGTTTATATTTCCCTTTATGCAGGATGAGTTTATATTCTAATTAGACAAGGGGAAGCAATAGTTACTTATCGCTCGTGTTTTTAATTAATTAAGACTATAAGTAATTAAAGACTAAAAGTTTTGTCAAATAAGGGTGATTGGCATTAGAGGTGAGAAAAAAAAAATCGAAAAATTGATTAAACATACCAAATTTTTAATCGTTAAAAGGTCGGGTTGGGTACTCCATTGCGGTTTAAGCAACCGACCCACCAATTAATCACCCAGTCACTGATACATTTTTATTATTTTATTTTCTCAAATAACCTGTCTACCATCTATGCCTCTTCTATCAAGACCTCAAATTCCAAAATAAAAGCAAGGAGAAGAAATTGTTTATTGTAAACCCCATGTTCGGATTGTAGGCCTGTTTATTATTTTGGTGTAATTGTTTGTCGATAAATAGGACATACATGATGATTTTGGGAAAATCTGCATTTACCATACATTATATATTATTGATATAAACTATGTAAGAGAACCACAAATTTTAAAAAAATAAAAAGAGAGGGGGGGGGGGGGGGAAAAAATATTTTTAATTTTGGCAAAAACCAAAAACAATTA